AAAATTATAAAACAACCTTGTACTCAAATATTAAAACTTAATATTGACTTTACAAGCGTGAAACAAGTACTTCAATCCCATATCGATTATTATTTGTAACCAAAAGGCCAGAAAGTAATTGCACGATCACAATAAAATTTATTACAATTGTTATATGTTTAAACAGCTGATCCATCGTTTTAATGGCAATATTCAAAACAACTTACATACACTTGAACTAAAAACACTTCAATACACGTACATAGGAACTATTATATTTTATATGCGTACGTGTGTTTTACGTTACATAAGAATTTATTAGATTTTTTCGTAAATTAATAATAGGTTTTGACCTATGAAATTGCCGAACTGGCCGTTCCAAATCACAATGTTTTTTTATGATAATTCTAAATTCAAATTATTTTTTCTCATTTATGGGATGGGCAGCTAAAATTAAATACCAGCTTGTCACATTAGAACACATTAGAGCGGCGTGCGAAGAGCAAGAGGCTCGTCAACGACGATGCGCTAGTAGAGGCTCGACTTCAAAGCCTCGAACCTCGAACACAGGTGCAAAGTTGTGAGCCTTTCTGTTTTTTATCGGATACATTTCGAAGAATGTTCGGGAGAGGTACACGCTTTGATTCCCCCTAGTCTTTTCCAGACAACGGCAAATACCACACACAGACAATCAGCAAAACATCATCGCACGATGCGGTTCGCCTCCAGTTTTGCAGGAGTAGGTGTACCCGAAGGCGACTCTGGGTGTTTTCAAGGCCCGAGTAAATAGGTTGCTAATAGGTAGGCATGCTCCATCGGAACGGAACCTTTTTGGGGCAGGATCAGTGTTTACTAAGGTTAAACAATTACCCTTCAGGAATGAGTTTAGTAATATTAAAGTGTGTAAGCTTACAAGTGTTTCTAATCAGGTAATAACAATTTACAAATCAAAGCATAACGCTATATAATGGAGTTTGTAAGGAAACCGTTTCAAACATGTTTTAAAAACATTAAACATTGCATAATTTATGTATTATCTTTGGTTATTTTTATTACCTTATATACGAAAATATAAATATGCGACTTTTAAGTCACGATAAGAATAGCTAATATTTAAAAAAAACACTACCAGTTATACTCAAGCCCACGTGTATAATACCTTGGTATTTATAATGAAAATTCCCTATTAATTCAATTTCAATATACCTGTTATTAAATTTTGGACACAAAACTTTGGACGTTTAATAAACAAGAACGAACAATGTGAGGCTTGTAGATAGGAATTTTGACACGGATAGAATGGAATTCGCCCCTCGGTCACCTTCTCAAGGAATTATGCAACTGCTCTAGTACAATAACAATGGAAGCGATAAGCGTATGTGGGCTAACAGTACAGTGGTAACTTGGTAAGTATGGTGAAAGTGTCCGAGTTGGGTCCACGAAGGTCGGCTGAGTGCCGGCCGCGGCCGCTGACGTAGCCACCACGGCTGCCAGCCAGCGTCCGGCGTTCACGCATCGCCGTCACTGACATTACCAATCCAAATGTCACGCAAATGTCAACATTGACTCGTGATTGTAGACTTGTTCTTTAATAGGTACCTATTCAATAGTCATAAATATCGAAGCGATTCAAGGAAATCATCGCATGTCATCTCAAATGTCCTCACGAGAAAATTAATATTATATCGGATTTCCAAGGGTCGATCGATACTAAAAATAAAGTTTAACAATAAGAATCGAAGTTAAATATCTTTATTATTAGGACAGGTGTATGATTATCACGAGTGACGCAAACGGTTGATCGTAAACAAAACATACTGTAAGTAATATGCCTGAATAAATATAATAACATTCTTTTATAGCCTTTATATTTTAAAAAATACCGTTGTGACAATACGTGTAATTAATGTGTTGATTTTTTATGTTGTTTTCGGCTGAATGCTCATGTACGTAGGTCGATAGATCGATAGATTATCTCATTTAGTAAACAAACCTTCATGGATTTAGTAATTAAATGAAGAACAATAATTAAGTTGTTTTGTGTTACATGGATTACAGGTATCTATTATGTAAGTTGGTGTTGTAAATGTGTGTATAATTTAGTGGTTGTGTCTGCGTGCACGTGCGAATTGCACGCGATAATGTCGAGCGGAGAGCGGTGCACAGTGGGCAGTGCTGCCTCACACAAGACTCGCACACAGCGATGTACTTACCTATGAGTACATACCTACCTACATTTATAAATGTAGTTCATGCAACCAAAACATCCGGAAGTTAGTAGCGCTGCATTTTTCTGACGTTTTTAATTTGCTCTCATTTTTCACAGTGCTATTATCTTTTGAATACTTATTTGTTAATGATTGAAACATTTATAATACTTTACTAGTTATGTTGAATAGAATTTCGAAATTTGAAGGAATGAAAAGGTTTATTTAAAAAAGATAAATTTACCATTTTATATTTTGCATACATCTGAAATTGTATGTTTTAATACGACAGAGATTATACCGATATTGACCTTTTCAGTCATACGAATTACAAAATTTAATTCAACATAACTAGTTATTTAGAGAATTTGAATTGAAATAATTTATAAATCGAAATACAATTAATGCATTTACTTATTATAGGTACTTAAATATGTAGTGTAATAAGAAAAGTAATTAATAATAACTATTAAGATTTATATTTTTCATTGAAACACCAATTAACTGTTAGAAACCGGTTTGTTTAAAGTGGAACGTTACTCGAAGTTATTGGCGAGCGAAACTGGCCAGTCAATCTCGAAACCAGGGCTACGGGCGGGGCTCTTTAAATGAATAATTAAACACGTGCTTGCACTACTCTACTCGCAGCATAAATTAAGTGAGAGTAGTCGTTCTGACTTATTGCCTCAATGTAACTGGCAGGCGAGACTTCGAGAGCAATGTTTCAACAGACCGTTACTATTACTATTTTATCGCGTCTATCATTTAAACACATCACTAATGCATTTATGTCTTCGCAAGATTAATCACCAGCGCAACACAAAATAATCCACAGTAAAAATCTACTTTACAAAATCTCGTAGCGATCCCGGTTACGTCGTAGCCGCGTAGCATCCTTCGTAGCGAAGATGACGTGGCAAAGAAAGCTAATGAATATTTATTAAACTCCGAGAGTTATACATATTATATTTTATCAACAATAAATCGTTGTAAACAAGTTGTAGCTACAGGAACTGTTTGTTTGATTTCCAGTAATGACTCGGCTTTCTTCGTTAACTGAGCTGTTTCCTGAACGGAGGACAATTATAATATTTCAATCACTATTCATATATAATCAAGTGCTAGTAATGGATTTAATAATTTATCGGAGTTTTTTTTTAATAATTATTCTTGCCACCTATTGCTTCGGTTAATTAGTTAGGCATTAAGTAAGTCGATTATGCATGTAAAGTACTCGGCCGGAATAAGTAAAAATCCAGCACCTGATTTGAAATTTCAATGACTTCTAAACTCATTATAACTGTACTAAATATAAACTAGTTGTTGTCAATATTGCTTGCTCAGCAATGAACCCATTCTTGTTTATTTGTCCTTATGTAGACAAAATGACTGTCGATAGCCATGTAAGTATTACGATTTCACGTACACTGATGCTTACTCTTAGGCCCACATCATTTTATTTCAACGGAATTTGTTAAACACTAACTATTCCACGAAGTGTATGTTAATCTAGCACTTGTACAGCTTATCGAGAATCATAACACTAAAATGGCGCTTTCCATTAGTATATACAACGTATATGTATACTATATATATGCATACGATGTATATTGTATATATAAACGTGTCATTTGTAGCGCGGTTGGGCGCCGCGTGGGCGCCGCGCCTGTCGCCGGCCACCGACGGCGCCGACCCACCCCCACCCAGAAAAAGAATACAGAAGCGCCATTCAGACTATTTTACTAAATTTTGTTACTAATTGATCAAATAAAGAAACATTGTATCGATGTTTTCAATGACAAAACAATAATTACTTTCTCCACCTTATGATTAAAGTTTGTAAATTGTACAATAGTATCCAACTTTCTATAAGACTTGCTCTACAAACGTAAATATGAAGTTTAAAAAATATACACATTCAGCAGGTTGAAGCGCAATAATGTATCCCAACCCGACCCGAAGTAGGTGAAGAAAGGGATGGTTTTTAGTCAGTAAGTGTTTGACACTCCCTCCCACTCCTCTTAGGGCGGGGGAAGTCATATGATGAAAAAAGGGTACCTATATACTTGTAAACGTAGGTAGAGCAGGTTGTTTTTCTGAGCCATTTACAGTATCCGGCGCCCCAACTTAGCACGTACGACATCGCATCACTGTCATTACATTCAACTAGCTGCCCACCATCAACCCGACACTGGCTATTATCAGCTATTCAAATTTTACCAGCGCGCGCGTCATCAACTACGTCACACCCTGTTATCAAGGGACGACAAAATTTTGATACGTATTTGCTAAATTAATTGTTGCGTAGGATGGTGGTTATTCAGACGGAAAGGCTAAAACGAAACCTTTATTATACCTAACATTTATATGAACGAAATTCACTTGAATTATACCCACACTTTATTAACATTCTGTTAAACCAACTCATGTAGGTAAATCATGTGTCGATTGCAACAATAAGTAAGTTGGTAGTGTTGCACATTGTATCTCTTATGTTGGATTCTAGCCAAAAATTAAATGGCTACCTATATATTTTTATTCGAATTCCGCATAATGCGAAATTTTTGACAGGCTTGTAAGGATAGTACTTCTTCTTTAACGAACCTACGTACGAAATACGTCAAGCCAAACAATAGACCTTTGTATCTTCTTTAAGACATAGAATAGAAATATAAGAATAGTCGTCTCATAACTTTTATGATCGAATTTGAAGAACCGTGAAAACTATATACTTCCCAGGTTAATATTAAGCCAAAATTATGCTTACTTACATAGAAGAAGCAAACTGTACTAAATTTATTTAATTTGTTCCAGACATAAAAATGCCCCAGTGGGCGAGCGCGGAGGGCGGAGGCTCAGAGGCCGAGTCGCCTGACCAAGTGATGTTGTACTTCGAAGATGAAACTTCCGAGTACTACGATAATAAACCTGATATTGCTGATAAAATTGAACAAGCTGGAGGTAAAATGAATAAAACAATTACTCTTTTATACACCGTATTAAAACCTCAGAACTTCACTAAAGGAAGTCATCTACTTAGTTCTCAATTTAAATCCACATGCATTCAGGAACGCACAGTGCTGGCTGAAAAGGATAGTCTCTGTAACATTTAAAAGACCCATGTCCAGAGGTTATTTGTCTCTGACTCTGCCATTTATGTAGGCGTATGATCTGGTACCTAAAGCTAAATAGTAGTGTTATATTTTATTGTATTGGGCATGCAAAGAAGAAAATAACTAAACATAAGATTACCTATGACCGCTACAGTACTGATAAAATAAAATTAAACCTAATCTACGTGGATATTGAATTTTAATTTATTATTATAATACGTACAACCGCCGGAAAGTACGAAGCAGATAAGGGCATTACGAAAATTACCCGTAGCCGTGCGTTCAAATCGATTAGTCTGCACTCGCGGTCTTACGCAAATAGTTTATCAAGCGTGCAGCGGCGTCACGTAATGGCCAAGTTTTGTACAGAGCAGCTGACTTGTTGCACAAATGTTTAAGTGTTCTCACTTCGGCATCGTGTCGCTGCCAGCCCGCGGTTGCCAACCGTTCGTGACGGAGAATGTACTAACTTTTAGCTGTTGAGGTGACGTATGTAATGCATACAACAGCTTATTTTTATAAAGACACGTCCATGGTTTTACTTTCTTGTCTCTATTAACGTTTATCAAATAAAATAATAAGTAGTCTCATTTCACTCAATTTTAGTATACTAATACTTTATGTTTCGTATACAATTTTCAATTTATAAGATCGTATAAAACGTCGTGTTTAAGATATTAACGATGTTTTAATAAAGGAAATGTAACGCAATTTCAGATTTCTACGACAGCGGTAGCGGTAGTGATGAGCAAGTTGTGCGTCGCGTGAGTCGGCCGCGGCGGGCTGCGGCAGGGTCGTCATCATCAGCGGCCAGCAGTAGTGGGCCCACGGGCCCCGGCCGAAGACGACGATGCGGCATCTCAGCGCGAGAGCGCAACCTCCGTAGGCTCGAAAGTAATGAAAGAGAACGAATGCGGATGCACTCACTCAATAGAGCATTTGAGGTAAACATTAATCATAATCGAAAAAAATACAATCCAGTCAATATTCGCCTTTATTAAGCATTTTGGCTTGACTTAGTTTCTTTCACGTTTCAGGATCTCCGACGAGTAATACCACACGTCAAGAAAGATAACAGGAGTTTATCAAAAATTGAAACTCTTACTTTAGCCAAAAATTATGTAAAGGCCCTAACAAATGCAATATGCACAATGAGGGGAGAAGTACCACGATACCAGTAAGTATTTTATTTTATTGACACTACATGCTTATTCTTTCAATCCACTTAAGATATAATAAACGAAATTCCTCTTTTTCGGAGATTGTAACACCTAATAGACACGCTCGAGTTTTATAAGTCTGGTCTTCCTAATGGTTTGAGTATCCGAAAGATATGTTCTTCCTTTTATTCGATAAACTACCAAACACGTTTTCCCGTTATTTTACCCGTATCGTCCCAAAAGGAAACGTTGGTTTTGAAATAAAAATATCTTAATCTCAATTTCAGATTTAATAGTGACGACGAGAATGTAGAGCCTGTGTTCGTATTAAATCGTGACCAGGAACAAAACAATAACGTGCCAAGTGATCAGGACCGAGAAGACTCCAGCCCTGGCTCCCGAAGTTGCCTCTGACAAAGACGTACTAGTCCCCGCTTCGCCTCCCTCGTGTCCACCGCCCGCTCTCCAACTGTATCGACGTGAACAAACTCAAACAAAGGAATGATGAACTTATGCATACATCGTGCATCGTCTTAGTATGTGTCCATATTATACTTAATTACCCATATCTCATTAGTATTCTTGATATGAAAAAAATTGTAAGTATTATTTTCCCAATAGGTTCGCGAAAAGTATTTATGGCAAATATCACTTGTAGAGTTGTAGCGCCCGATCCAAATTAATGTAAAGGTACATAGTACGGGGCTAAAGGATATACTGAGGCAAAGAACAAAAGTAATAAGAAGCGAGTTAAGCGTTTAATCAAATAAGATACGGCCAGAGAAAATTATTTTGATAAAGTTGGTTAATTAAAAAGTATTATGCAAGCTGATGCTACGAAGATTATTAAAGTTTACAAGTAACTCGATACCTGTAAGAACATTGACACCCAAAGACCAATGGTACGAATTAATTGCTAGATGTATATTATATAATCGTTATTTAAGCAAATACTTAATTAAAAAGTCATTAAGAAAAAAAGAAAAAAAAGAACAAGATTAATAGCCAAATTGATGTGATGAATGAAATTAATATATTCGTTTCTATGACGAAGTATTTATATCTACAAATATGTAGTAAAAAAAAACAGATACCTATGTAATCGGGTATCTACTAGCGAATGTAATTTCAATTTATGCTTGTTTTGTAATTTATCGTTTCAAGATATTACTGGTTGAGGTAAAAGTGAAAATGAGCGATCAGGGGAAACGAAACAACTAACACGCATTCAGATCTCAGAGAAGTAGTGAAGTGAAATAAGCGTAACGCTTATAAATATTATGACCTCAGTAATAATTTACTTTTGGTAAATTAAATTTTCTCATGGTGCCAAAACGACCGCTTACTTTTGCCGTATAAAGACGTTGCTTCTGTGTATCTATGTATAATAAACTTTTACCTACAATCAATTACTATGCATTAAATTATATTCTTTCTACAGGTAAACAGTCAATTCAACTTTATAAGATTTTTGATGAACATGTATGTATAATAAAAGTTACCAGAAATTCGAAATGCTTGCAATTTTCGTTTGGCTTTAGATAAAGATATCGTTGTTCAACGATATTCGTTATAATATTATTATAATGATTAATGAAATCTCAACTTATAGTTACCTACCTACCTTTGAGTTTATTTAAGTTTAGTTTATAATAAAAATAGGTACATATTTTTTGTAAGTACATTTACCTATCTATAACTTAATGAGAATGTTGAAAAACCATTTTGATGAATAAGTATTTAGCAAACTTTGTTTAATAAGCATTTTTACAGTCATTGTGACTTAGCTATATTTTTATCTAGTAGTTATAAAATGTGCAAATGTTTTTTTTTTTGTATTTTATGCAAACAATTTGTGATTAAATTATATGACAATTATATCTGTGAGAACATTATAACTGTGCGTATTTATTGCCATGTACCTAATCCCAAATATGGGAAACATATTTTTATACTTACTGGCGGTGCTTTAGTGTCCTCACTGGACAGTGGATACTGATCCAAGGATTATACTATGATAGTCCCAAACCGGATAAAGTAAGAAATTGATAATACAATTAATTGTTATGACCCATAAATTGTCACGGCAAATATTTACCTGATCTTGCGGGGTAAGCGCAATGAGGCACCGCGACCTCGGCCGAGAGCAGGAGAAGGAACAGGGAGGTTTTTAGTCAGTAAGAGTCTGACACCCTCCCACCCGGCCCTGGACGAGGGAAAACGTAATTTGATGATTTTCCCATCACAAAAAGAAAAAAAAATATTTACCTGATGGGAAGTAATAAAAGCATCTCCCTTGAACACGGAGTGGTTCCGACTCTGGTACAGACCTGGTTCTAGTAACATTTTTAGAAAGAGAGCTTTCCTATAAATACGTCTAAATTGTTTTTTTTTTCTGTAAGATTACTATTGTGTTGATTCCGTTCTGTCACATTTGTGTCTAAGTTGTCACACATCCAGTCCTAGACTAAATAAATCTTTGTAACCTCCATAATGACTGCACTACGCGCAGGGGCTGAAAAACGTCTACTGGTATACAAATTCGCACAGATAAATCTGTGTGTGCGACCTTTATTGCTTATTTTGTTTTGTGAGGGTAAAATCATCAAATGACTTCTCCTACCCAGGGTCGGGCGTTAGGGAGTGTCAGAATCTTACTGATTAAAACCTCCCCGTTCCTTCTCCTGCTCTGGGTCGAGGCCGCGGTGACTAATTCCGCTTATCCCGCAACCCCCGCAGCCCCCGCTGACCTTTATGGCTTGAGTTGTGATTGTTGTTGTTCTGGATTCCGGATCCCGATGTTGTGTCTATTGTAATAGACACAATTTGGAATAGTACAACCTCGATTTTGTACTACTTATTCCAAATTTCGATGACCCTCACTTCAATGAAAATTTTATCTAAGGGAGGATAGAAGATATTCATTTCAAATTGAAATAGATAATCATAAACTTATCTGCATTTAAATCCATAGGTAGACAAAGGAAAATTGGCATGTACCTACATTAACTGAATTAGTATCTATTAATTAGTATTTATTCAGTTAATGTAATGTAGGTTCTTCAGTTAATTGGCTTCATATTGTTTACAATGTTATAAGTTCTAAATATACCTATGGCCAGCAAGTTCCATTTTGCTGACTTCTAAAAATAGGCATTTAATTCATACGGTGTTACGAAGTTCTGTACACATTCTACCTAAAGATACTTAGCTAGGTATATACCTACACAGAAACATGAGACTTTATGATGAAGCTTGATATTTATAACACAATATGAGGTCGGCTACAAGACAGATCAATTACTAAATTTTCTTACTCAATGACTTTTTATAATAGGTAGAAATTGACAAACGAGCAAATGGATTACCTGAAGGTAAGCAATTAGCGCCGCCAATGGACACCCGCAGTACTAAAGAAATTTAGAGTAGGTAGGTACGTAGGTACACCAAAGTAATAAGGGTTCCAGATAATAAGGATTGGAAAGGGATGGGAAGAGGGATTTTTCAAAAAATAATAATTGTATATAACCTTAAAATAAATAATTTATAAGTCCCTAATATCCGCAATTCCTGTCGCCAAGCGTGAGAGATCGCCGCCACCTAATATCGCTTCCCTGGAGATGTCTAGATGGACACGTCGGTAATTAGCTCAAATAGGGCACATCGCTACTGTATGATCAAACGTGTCTTCCTGGTAGTACTTACTTGCAGTGATGACGGCCAGGCGTTTCCTTCCACTGAATCCACAATTGGTACCTCCCGAAATGGCCATATCCGGTAACCACCTTCGTCAAGCGGAAACTTAGAACGCCGTGGCGACTGCCTTAGCTGAAAAGGGGGTCTTAAAACTGCGATAACAGCCGCGGTGACTGTAAATTATTATAACACTAGCTTTTGCCCGCGATGTCGTGAGCGTGGAAGAGTGACCTGCAGATTTTTGGTATAAAAAATATCCTATGTCCTTTCTGGAGTTCCAAACTAGGTATGTCTTTACCAAATATCACAGAAACTGGTTCAGTAGTTTAGGCGTAAAGAAAAGACAAATAAACAGAGTTACTTTCGCTTTTATATTATTAGTTTGGATTGATGATTTATATGTATATGAACATAAATAGAATGAATAGTTTATATACCTAGGTAAGTTCAGTTCAACGGAAATAACTAAGTATCATCTCTTACACTTTTTCCAATTCGTTCAATATAATGGTAAAAATTGAAGGTTTAATAATACAATTGTTTATTACAGTAATTAAATTATTTTTATCCTATATTTTTAAAATTATTTTTAGTAATATTAATGGAAAATCGACTATTTCTATAAATGTTGCCAGCATTACATTTGGTTAAAAATGTTTAATCGATTCTTACCATACATCTCGATTCAACTCGATTACTAGTAGCGAAGCGAGCGAGCTCTATTACCCAGTTCCACCAACTGATTGTCTACGAAAAAAATCCTCATGTGCGTGTGTAGTTAGATTAGATCAATTTTAGAGCAATTTTGTGTAAGAAACTTTATACGTGATTTAAAGTTGAATATACAAGTAATAAACGAATTGAGCTTGCAAGAAAACACAGATCGTAACCAATTCCACCCAAATTAAGTTACATACTTCACTTAGATACATTCTGCGTCTATCGCAATATGGCCGTCCTGTAATGATTTGGTGGCCAGTAATATTATTGTGATTTCATTGTATGCTAAATACCAAAATGGAGCTTCGAGTCGGTAATAAATACCGACTAGGTCGTAAAATTGGCTCAGGATCTTTTGGAGACATTTATCTTGGTAAGTGTGTTGAGAGATTATAGTAAACAAAGAAAAGTGGTCATTTGGTTGGCCAGCTGCAGTTTTTTTCGTTTCGAAATAGCTAGCATATCTTTTTATATCAGTGACCTATTGTTAGTAACTGATTTCGAGTGTTTCTTATTAGCTAATGTTAGGTTGTAAAGTGACTTATTATTTGTAAGTGCTAGTCAAAGCTGGACGATAACATGTGATTGACTATTGAATCCATAGTACTGCTTCTACGCCTTTTTTGTGTTGTTACCCACTAAAATGGTCAAAGAACATGTACAGGGGCAGCCTTGAATCTGTCAAGTTCTAAGTTTCATGTTTCACAATGTTTGATTAGGCGGATTTATCTTGGTCTGTCTTGATTATATAAAATGCTATTTTACTTTTCAGGAACTAATATTGTCACCAAAGAGGAGGTAGCTATTAAATTAGAATGTATAAAGACAAGGCACCCTCAACTACACATAGAGAGCAAGTTTTACAAACTTATGCAAGGAGGTGGTGAGTAATCCCAGTTATAATAATAATGTTTCATTAAGTGGTTTAACAACAGTGTATTCTATGGAATAAATTAAATTGTGATTGAAATACATATTTCCATGGTCATGGCATCACTTATCTTTGGCTGGACCAACTCTGATAATTCTTGGTAATGCTGTTTACCAAGGATAGGAAAAGATTATTTTATAATAAGTAAAGAGAGGGAAGCTGGGTAAATAGCATCCTTTTTGGTGCTACCAAATAGCTATGCAAAGCATTGGCACTAGTATGTGTATATTTTTAAGCTGTTTCAGTTATGATTTTGAAAAATGTGTGTATATAGCTAGTGTATCCAGTTGATGCAGTGTCTGATGAATGTTATTATATTGTTAACCTATGTAAATTTTGCTATTTATGCTTGCAAGTTACTGCATATTTCTCTTAACCATCATGTATTCTGTTTGTTTATTTGTTTGCTCATGACTATAAAAAACCTTCATTGTTTTTAACGAATTACAGTCAGTTCTTTTTCTCCTTTTCATACCACTTATAGCAATAAAATATGATGAGCACAATCTTTAAAAAACAGTATGTGTATCAGATCTAGATTATTTTAGTTTCTTGACTAAGTTCTAATTCTACAAAAAAACATTTAAACCCATATGTGGTTGTGGTCTGTAGTTGTAGGGAAAGCAAAGTCTGAATGGAAAATAACAACAAATTTTATAACAATGTGAACTTAGCTAACTATCATAAATTTGTTGTTAACAGTTGGTATACCGGCAATAAAATGGTGCGGCTCAGAAGGAGACTACAATGTAATGGTAATGGAACTGCTCGGACCCTCTTTGGAAGACCTGTTCAACTTCTGCTCACGTCGCTTCTCCCTCAAGACTGTTCTACTTCTTGCTGATCAACTCATCACGCGCATTGAAGACATACATTACAGGAACTTCATTCATAGGTATGGAATTCTATTTATTTATTCTCTATAATTAAATACAATATAATAATATGTATAGAATATAGAGGTATTTCTTTCCACATTCTTATTCTTCAAAGTATTAAGAATAAGAGATAGATGAGATTATCATATTATTAATTATCTGTTTACTATAGCCATTTAAACACTACTGCTATAACAATGACCATATCTTACTAAATTGCGAAGCATTATACATTTTGTTTTTACTCCTGACTTTTTATTGAACATCTTAATTTTGCATAATTTATTCATATATTTTTTTATATGGTGAAAACCCCACTCACATTACCAGTCACATGTATAAAGATAATGAATCTGGACTATCTGTAGCAATAAGGACAGATATAGATATTTGTTGCAGGTCAGCTGGAAGGGTAAAAGATAATAACTACCTGTTTACATAGCTCATTACTTTGCATTTATCACTGACGTTGATTGTATGCTTGTCAATCTAATCAAATAAATTATACAGCTACTCATACACTGAAGTCTTAATGTTTCTCGCATATTCAGTTTTGTGTTTTTATTTTTGTTACAGGGATATAAAACCAGATAACTTTCTTATGGGCCTAGGTAAAAAAGGGAATTTAGTGTACATAATAGATTTTGGCTTAGCAAAAAAGTACAAAGATGCACGCACATTGCAACATATTCCATACAGAGAAAACAAAAACTTAACAGGTAAGATATAAAGTTGATTATATTATTCAAATCTGTAAACCTGCTATACTCACTTCTATAATAGTATAAATTCCTGTTCGGTACATGCAGTTTTCTCACCTGTATTAATTATGCATTCTTTTTAAAATGACATCATGGCCTAGCATTTAATTTTCATTGATATTGTTACTTGTCAGTGCAACAGGCAATATGATTCTTTAGTAAATTTGCGTGAACATACCTACATTGTGTAAACATATCAACAATAGAGCTACAATATTTCTTTTGTTGCTTTGTTAGATTAAAATCTTCATTTTTCTTCCACTTGTTCCTGCCTTCCATTTCTCTAAAGCATTTTTTGTTTGTCTTATTCTTGGCTTATTCTTTGCCTCATTCTTAGCCTCTACATAAGGTTTATATTTATGATTGAGTTTTATTTTAACGAATCAAATGTAAACATTATAGGAACAGCGAGATACGCATCGATAAATACACATTTAGGCATCGAACAATCACGACGCGATGATCTGGAGTCATTGGGCTATGTACTCATGTATTTCAATCGTGGAAGTCTTCCCTGGCAAGGACTGAAAGCTGCTACCAAACGCCAGAAATATGAGAGAATATCTGAAAAAAAATTGTCAACACCTTTTGACGAACTTTGCAAAGTAAGTTTTATATTAAAATATTGTATTATGTATATGTTTTTTTATATGTTCCAATGCTCATGAATAACTTAAACAATTACAGAATCACCCAATCGAGTTTCAACTATATCTAAAGTATTGCCGACGGCTACGTTTCGAGGAGAGACCTGACTATAGTCATCTCCGTCAGTTATTCCGCACACTGTTCCATCGACAAGGATTCACATATGATTATGTGTTTGATTGGAACATGCTCAAATTTGGTAAGAAACAATTCCATATTTTTACTTGCAACTAGACCAAATAATTGGCGTGGTTTTACAAAATTGATTTTAAATATTTCCAGGTGGTCAACGCGGTAATTACCAATCAGGTGGCACTGACCGTACGTTAAGACGTCATGAACAAAATCAGGAACAAGAGAACAGTAAGTAATTTGAGTTCACTTACTGACGATGTTTCTGGGAGCTATTTATCTATACATATCCGAACTTGTGAGTCGAGTTGGCGCTAAGCAATTGCGAGCGAGTTGGCGGGCAGCAAATGTTGGTTGGTTCTCGAGTTCGCATACTAGACTAACGTGTAACGTACGTGTACAGCGGCGGGCGCGGCCGGGCAGCCCAGCACCACTGTGGCGGCCATCTCGGAGTGGCGGTGAGGGACCTTCCTGTCGTCGCAGTGTTAACACCACCTATATGGAACCACGTTCGTATTGTGACTTGCATGTTCTGTTCGTAGGGACGAACATTACACAGACTCGATATATTCACGTATTTGACGGTGTGTTTTAACGACGACTTATCACGTCACCGAACCGCGCGGTAGGAATTGAGGCGTGAGCGTGAAACTTCTTTGGATGTTATCACGTTTCGAGATAATAGATTCTGTATTAAAATAAGGAAACAATTTTGTATGCATTCGTGTTAACATTCATATTATTGTAAATTATTTAATTATAGACTAAGTATGATGATGAGTGGGCCGAGAAATGAAAAGTTATTTGTTTGAATAACACTTGTTTAAGCATAGAGGTAATTAATAGGCCTACCCATGCATCGTTGTACTTTATGCTCAGTTATATTTAGAAGTAAGATACATATTCTATCATATTGGTAAGATTAAACAGTAATTTGTCAATTGGTCCCAAGAAAATCGGTCAAGAGACTGTAACTTGAAAATAAAGCTCTATTCTGACATGCTTAGTGATCCTACTTGGCGAAATTTGGCTTATGGGTTATGGACAAGTTTATCATAGCACAATTAAAATAGCTATATATAAGATATAATGAACTAATGGCCATGTACCATCTGATTTTACAAGTTTACTGTAGCATTCTAACTACTGGAAACAGACTGTGCAATACAAGTGATCACTGATCATTTAAAGTTTAAGCATTTTTTTGAATGGTCCAACATTGTTAAAACGGAAAACGAGACTAGGTATAATGAATTTTTAATCATATTGTTGATTGATTATGGTTTTGGCATGGTTACTGCCATAAGGATTGTTCTTATTTGACTTATTTATTTGGTACATGGAATTGAAAGGAGTTTTTCTAGTTTTATTATTACTTGTCCCTCCTAGGATGGCCGATATTTTTTGTGGAACCATATTTTGACTAATTAATCCTATCAGTGGGCTTTAATAATAATCGAAAAGGTCTTTATTGATTGTGCTTATCTTTTATTCAACACAATTTTGTGCAATATAGTATCTTTGATCTTTACCAACATTTTATCAATTTATTTTTTATTGATTTTAGCATTTTGTCTTCCAAGTTGAGTTGAAACATAACCAAGAACCTTGTTTTATGCTGAAGTTATTTAAGTGAATGTGACGTGTAGGTCGTCTGTCTAAGGGAAAGTCTATAGGGAGTGATTGTTGTTAATGCAATTGATGTAATCAATTTCTTATTTTTGATCAATCAATTGATTATGATTGTAAAAATTTCATGCGTCTCTTGATTGTTCCTCTGATTGTGGATAGGCGGCCTAAGTAATGATAGTCTAACAATGTATGTCCAGCCACTGCCATAGTTTTAACTAGGTAAGTTTATTCGAAAATAAATTGGCCGGAGAAAACATTGCACTCATAAGTTTTTGTTTAGTTTCTTTGTGGAGTATTGCATTGACTAATTGATAAAAAGTGTAGAAATAAAACCTGATTTTTTATTTTGTAGTATCACGTTCGTGTCGACGTATACCTACATTCCCGCTAGAGCTATTGTTTCCCTCTATGTTATCCTTATTACCGATCTAGAACTACTGGGAATCTATGATCTCATATAAATTACCAAATTTTCTCATACATAATGTACCTAGTTCAATTAAACCTGTTACCAATTCTCGTATTCTGAAAAAGTATGGTTTTGTTCATTTGCCTTTAACTGCAGAGCAATAGATATATCCTATGCTCTGTTAATATTATGATTATGATGAATAGTTTGTAAATATAAAAGTTTAAAAAGTAATACGATTTTTTTATAACGTGATATTGTATTGGACCGTATCTTATTTAGACAAGAACACCTCTTAATATGACTGAGAATTAGGTTCAATCTTATGTAAATAAATACTTAATGGTTAATATATCCAATTTCATTTCAAGGGTTTGTATCGCAAAGCTTTGAGATTTCAAAATCATCCTGTTGTCATGATATTGTATAGTTAGATAGATAGGGGTTTAGTTTAGAATAAATCATCTAAATATTATTTTACATTGGCACTTGAGAGTTTGACTTTGTATTGTTGATATTGTAGCCATCATCTACTGTTCAGTTTTTATATTATTGCACATTATTTTAAGTTTGAATCCAATATTAATTAGATCTACAGGGTATTTTGTAGCATTTTGAGAGTTTCGGTTTTCTGTTTGAATAAATCATTTTATAGACAGATTTGATTCATAAATGGAAGTGACATTCGTCTTACTTTTCAACGCTGTGCCAACATTGATATCATTATATTTTAATGTTTATAATATGAGTGTGTTTTAGTTAATTCCTTCATTTAGGAGAATTCGTAATATGTTAGTACCCAAATATTTTGATGATATTGTGTTAGTAATTCTTATGAATTTATATTAATTCATGTATATTAGATGATGTTTTCGTGTTCAAATATATGGAGGTGACGATGTCGTGCATAGTAAGTGATGCGTGAAGCCGAGGCGCGGCCGCTGTGTTGTCCTGTGCTTGTCGTCAGTGTGTGAAGTGCGCAACGTGTATCTCAATGCTTTGGCGGAGAAAAGTCGTAGCTTGCTCCTAAAGTTAAGTGTACGCTATAAACGACGAAAGACTTTATGGACTTAATTTTGTAAATAATAATATTTTTAAGATAATTAGATAAGCAGACACACTGTTTTTTACAATATCCTAGGTAATGGAATAAATCATACATAACTGTTGTAGCGTTAATGTCATTGAAATTACTTTGCTGTTATTGTATTTTTTGTAGACATGTCACGTACCATACGATACATTACGATATCTTTGAGAACAGAAGTTGCCTATTAGTATTCATTCAGTTATTGTCTGAAGGAGGGAACATGCTTCACATAGTAGACTTAGAACGAATAAATGACTTAGAAAACATCTGCTTTGATTGGGTATAATTTAAATTTAAGTGACCACAGGTTTTGTTCCCTCCAGTGGCGGATAATATGCACTATTATATTAACAACAAGGCTTCAAACTGTCTAACCGTTCTACGCCATTATTTACCTTTACAAGTGGTATGTTTTCACAAATAAATATGTGCTAGCTATCTTTAGCATATGCATTATAAGTAAATTGTTATGCTTGCATTGTTTTCTATGTCCAGTATGTATAAATTCCTTTGGCACAATAAACTGAGTAAAATAACATTTTGTTTTCTTGTGGTGATTTAACAAAATTGTATTATATAATATTTTGAAATTCTATGTAGCAAGGAATCCTCCGTCCACTGGCAGTTGGACCCCTGTGATCATACTGGCGCCGTCACTCAGGAGGAATAGAACTGTATTGACAACTTCGTGCACCTCTCCAAACCTAAAAGAAAATTGATTACTTTAGTTGCCGATATTGTAGTAGTTTTTATGGCTTGGGTAAGGACAATCCTACTACCACACTACAATAAAATGTAAAGCGCTTGGCTCTTGTGACTCGATATACAGTTCGTAGTCATAAATGGAAGACGAAGAGTGGTATACATTAGCAAACAAATACAATTGACGAGCTTGGCGATTAATTGTACTGTACAAGAAAAGATTACCTTCCCAAAGGTATCTTCGAAAGCATGCCCTGTGACTTTAAAGGATCTGAGAGCCAGACCTTGCGCCCCATGTCTGTCATTATAACCGTTGGGTTCACAGAGTTGACACGAATTCCATGTGGCCCCAATTCTAAAGCCATTACTCTTGTTAACGAATCAACAGCACTTTTTGACGCGCAGTATGCAGTGTGATCCATTAGAGCAGCCTGCAAAATTGTCAAAGTTGCTGTAAGAACTGGTTGCGTACACCCATTATGTCGCTACGTGTCTAATCAACCGGGTAGACTAGACAGGTAAAATAGGAAACTTACTTGAGAAGCCTGCGATGAAATATTTACAATAGACCCCTTTATTTTGTTATCAATCATTTTCTTTGCCACGATTTGACTAACATTAAGGATAGACTTAACATTCACTGCCATTGTCCTGTAACATTGATACGGCTATTAATAAAATGTGTTTTAGTGTAGGTCAGTATTAAAAAAACTTACAAAGGCATCACCTGTCAAAGCTATCTGGAGAACATTCCAAAAATGGTTCGGTAATAGCTATTCCAGCATTATTGACTAGTCCATCGAAGACACCTAAAGACTTTATAGCTTCCCTGGTTTTATCCCAGTCAGCGAGGTCTACACATACAGTCTCGATAGAAGGATATTCTTTTTTAATGTTTCCTAAGTTATCTGGTTGATTTGAGAGAACTACAATATTAGCACCTTGTCTCCATAATTCTAAAGCTATTCCACGTCCAATACCTGTAAATATTGAATTTAAAAACCATAAAATTATAATACTTAATAGATTAGTACCACCTAAGGATATAATTTTGTTTATACTGAAAATTTTACCTTGACATCCTCCAGTCACGAGTATTCTTTTCCCTTTAAAATATTTATCCATTGTTTATTAACTCTTAATATTATGCTGTACCACTACGGACACAACTGACTATACCTCAAAACTAAATAATCACAGCAAGTTTACAGATAATATTTTTTAACAAGCAGTCATACTTGATAAGGGGTTATCTAAAAGACACACGTATGATACGTATACCATTTATGCTATAATTTAGATAAGATGTTTGTTTACGATTTCAACGAAGCAAGCATACTCAGTTTCAAGCACAAAACTAGATTAAAAACTATCATTGTTCTAAATCAGAATTTTAAACTAGTAATTGTGTCGCCTACTTATGCGATAATAAATAAAAAACAATAGTAACACAAAACCACCGGGTACATTAATAGAAGTCAAAATTTTAACAAATTGCATTTATTCAACAATATATCTTTTACATTAATCATTGTTTATGAATAAGGTTTATAAATGCACTATGCAAGCATTAAATCATTGTTAAGTGTAATGTATTATCCAATATTAATTCATATTAGTTTTTTGCTACACAATGTAACAAATAAAGCAAATTTAAAGTCATTTAATTAACTGGTAATTTTCTAATTATAATTTTATATGTTTACATTCTTCTTTGTACATATTCAATAATAGTCGAAAATCAATGCTTAATGGCTTCAATTTCATAATTATTATAGGTTTAAACACAACACATGACAAAATATAATCACATTGCAATGATAATAAAGGGCTACAAAGTATTATCAAACAGATCTAATAAGATATGATTAAAAAGAAGATAATATTTCCCATATGAAACAATCATAACATTTACAATACTTTGGTTTTTATTAATTTATTTTAATTTAGTAAGTATAGTTAATTATTCAGAATTGATAATAATATTATCACAACATAACACAAACATGAGAACTTAATATATAATCATGGCCATCTGTATTAACTGTACCATCTTTGGTTGTTTCACTAAATAGCATAGATCAAAATTTAATAGGTACACTTAAAACTAAAATATGCAATTGTTAAAAAATATTTCATATTGAAAGTCACAAACATATACTATTGCTATTTGTTAAATTTATATATTTTGCAATTTGTAATATTATGTGGCAAGAAAACCTCCGTCAATAGGTAGCTGTACTCCATTGATCATACTAGATCTTTCACTCAAGAGAAAAACTACTGCATTGACCACTTCAGAAACTTCTCCAAACCTGAAATTGGATAAAATGTTAGTTGTACTGATAAGCTTATCAGTTTGTATGTAGGTTTGTAAAATGAGGGTCAAAATGATGTAATTATGTGTCAGAAGTTGCTGATATAAAAGTTTATAAGAACAAACACTATGCCTATTTTAAACAGACTTCATAATAGAGGTAAATGCCATAATATCAACTGGTTATTAATAGCATTGTCTAAGAGCTTGTTTACAATGTCTGATTTTAAGTTTCTATAAACTGTCATTTTGAAACATTATGGATTGAAAAGTTATATTTATTATCTGTCAGTTATAGAAACAGGAATGTAACCTAACAATGTGGAACAGGTCCTAAATATATTATGGTCTCATTACCTTCCTAAAGGAATTTTAGCAAGCATATCTTTAGCTTTATCTGGATCTGACCATCCCACTTTGGCCATTTCTGTCATTATGACAGTAGGATTCACAGTATTCACTCTGATGCCGTAAGGTCCCAGCTCAAGGGCCATGGAACGAGTTAGAGCATCTAAAGCAGCTTTAGATGCACAGTAAATAGCATGGTCTTTTAATGCAGCCTGAAAAAGAGAAGCATTATTATGATAATTACAAGAAAAGTATATAAGTGTTCCATTTAAGAATAGAGAATTAAGAATTTTATCAAAAAAAATGTTTGGAAAACTACCCTTATTACAAATAAAATGTCACAACCTTAATGTTAATAGTTTCCCTTATCACAAAAAGGAAAACTTGTATTTACATTTTAATAACAAGATATTTGTCAAAGATAAGGATTACATGTGTAAGCCCCACCGATTGTTGGGAGATAAGTATTTCAATGAATTGATAATACCTTTGAAGCCTGCGATGATATGTTGACTATGGCACCATGTGTTTTGTTTTCTACCATCTTTCTTGCTACTATTTGGCTAATATTAAGAACGGCTTTTACATTAATGTTAAACATTCTGAAAAATAAAAAAATTAATGCAATGTAGCAAGCTGTATAATCCAATTAAATATGTGTTTATATTTGGTTACTCAGTTGTGTAGGTATTTGACTTATATAGTTCTATATATTAATATTACATATATAAATGCTCTGTTATCAGTACATAAGTCATGCCTGAACATATATTTAAGTAAATTGAACAGTTGTTTTGCATACTTATCAAAGTCTGAAGGTGAACAATCGAGAAAAGGCTCGCAAACAGCTACAGCGGCGTTGTTAACTAGGGCATCAAAATGACCAAGGGACTCAACCACTTCTCGCGTTTTATCCCAGTCAGCTATATCGACATCCACTATATCGATTGAAGGATATTCAATCTGAAGAGACTCTAAATGAGATCTTGTTCGAGATAAGGCGACTATATTCGCTCCAGCACGCCATAGCTCCACAGCGATGCCCCGGCCAATCCCTGCAGTTTATAAGAAAAGTAGTAAATACCACGTATGTAAGTAATTTGAGCGTTTCAACGTCATTGCGGCGAGCTAAAGCCAAACACACTTTGTAACTATATGTTGTCTCCAATAAGGTAAATTAATAGCTATAACATGACCAAGAAATAAAACAAAATAGAGATAATGTGAACTTACCTTGGCCAGCACCGGTGACAAGTATCCTCTTGCCTTTAAATGAGATTTCCATGTTTTATGCTAATTGTTTTTCTGTAGAAGCAGTTGAATATAAAGCAACGTATGCCAACAATAACAGCTCAATTTAATATTTTACGCATAATCGACTAGTCTACAATCCGCACAGCGGCTCTGGCTCTCGCCAACTAAATTGGTTTGACATTGACAACATTAGTTTGACTTTGACAGAAGACTTTTTAATTTTTCTTGACTTGACTTTAGCGTTTTGTTCTCCGTGATTTTGAACAGGAACTGCAATGCGTTACTATTTTAATGATTGATCAAATACATGCTAAAACTATCTATGAGGTATGAATAAACTACTTTGAGAATCAAAAAATACCCAATGTGTCTATCTAATTAAATTTTGTTAGGGAAAAAAGCTAACTATATTTGGTCAAGATTGACTTTTCTGATAATAAAAAAATGTTGTTACACCTCAATATGTCATGGAGCAGTAAAGTTAAAGGATGGAGTACTACAATCTGCGTGTGCGAAAGTGATCGCTATAGAAGACGCAACTATAGCACTTTACTTCTGACAGACGTAGGCTAGTGTTGTTTTGTATTATTATAAAGCTGGCGAGCTAGCGTAACTACTTCGTGAATTTCCCCTCTCTTCTGCTATATGTACAAACTTTGTTCTGTCTATGATGAAAACATTCTGAGAACGAAATCGTTCAATTTGGGGAAATTAGCAACTACCTAAACATAATTCAATTTTGTTAGGGCATTTACATTTGGGACAAGCAGAGATGCAAATAAAAACATTTGTAAAATTCCTAAACGTTTATTAAACATCAATTCTTAAACTTAATTCACATACTTATTGTATTTAAAATCTTGTTAAATAAATATAAAAATAAGTTATTAACAATTTGTATTTCCTATTAAGAGACAGATACCTTTGTAATAAATGTAGATATGGACATTAAACAAGTATTAACCATCTTGGTAACTTATACCTGTATACATCTGTATCTAGTAGTAGTACTATACTTATAAGTGTAAGTAGGTAGGTAGGTAAAGCTCTAGGTAGGTAAGTCGTTAAATATTACAATTATTGTATTTACATAGATTTCTTCCTAATTTCCTTTCCTTCTCTTTTACATAACCTGCTAGCGGGTTGGTGTTGCCAGTCATTAATATTGCTAGCGAATTGCCACGGCATCGAAAGGTTTCCCATTTACTCATTTTCCCTCTACTTTTTAATCGTTTTATTTAATAAGAATCTTCTACTGATAATGATAAATGGTACATTAAAAGAACAATTATTGATATCGACCTAGCCATTCATGCAGGCGGAGGCACGTAGGTGGACAGGGTGGTATAAAAACAATTTTAGATGTTATTTCTAATCATTACTTACAAGACATCGAACAAAGGCACTGAAAGGTACCTACTGTAATAGGTATTTAGATTCAAAAAGATATCCTTAAACATTAAGATTGGTATGTATTATGCTTTCAACACACTCCAATTCTGGGGTCACTTTATTAGGTAGGTACTTATTTCGATGTACAAAATCGTCTAATCATAGGTAGATACCTACTTAAAATTCACTTTTAATTGAAATATTCATCACAACACAAAAAAAACTATACACTTCACTATGCATGTAATATTAAAAAAATGTAGATAAGGCACTGTTAGATATTTTACGATTGTACGAAATTGTACTTATTTTATAAACATTTATTTTCTTAAATTAAACCTTAAATATTACGAGTAAAAGCGTTGAGATTAGATGGTGACGAGATTTTCGATTATTATGCAGTCTAGTTGAGTTTAGGTGGTTGTTTATCGTCTGTAGGGAGCCTTTCTGTATCGGCCTCGTTCTTCTTCGTCACGGACGTCCAAGTAATGACTGAACACCACTGCCCATAGGTAGAGGTACAGACCTGGAATAAGACGGAGATATGGCGTAAGTCACGGTTCTTAACGAAACTAAAATACATGAAAGAATTATGCCCGTTTTCACCAACAGCCCCTAAAATTTAAGTGTCTCTTAAGCCAATATAAGGGACACTTATCGCGAGTTTTGTTTTCACCAACGTTTAAGTGTCACCTATATCATTAGGGGTCCCTTATAATTTAGGGGATGAATTGACGACCCCGTAACGTTTAAGTGACACATAGTGTTAGGTTATTTTGCGAATCACCAAACAGTATTTTATCCTACTGAATAAGATAAAAAATAATAAAAATGGATAATAACCACTATTTATTTGAAGATTTTAAGCAATTGAAGATATGGAATTGTTAAGTAACCGACATTTGTATAGACGACCTCGTATTTATCGTGAAAGATCGAAAGATTTTGAAATATATGATGAAAAAGACTTTTTCATAAGATACAGGTTCCCTGCTCAACCTTACTTGTATTTAAAGAAATAAACCTGTGGCACCGATTAACCAATTACTGTGTGGCCTTAGATTTTATGCAACAGGCAATCAATTATTATCTGTAGCAGATCTCAATCCCATCAGTGTATCTACTTGCAGTAGAATTATAAAAAGAGTGTCTGACGCTATCGTGGGTCGTGGCAAAGCGAATTCATACAATTTCCAGACACCGAAGAAAAACAACAAATAGTAAAAGAAGAATTTTACAGAATAGCTCGATTTCCAAATGTTTTAGGATGTATAGACTGTACACACATAAAAATTCAATTATAAGGTTGGGCGTTTAGAGAAACACAGGTCCTTACGAGTAACCATTTATTACTGAATCTCCTATGAAATAATACATGATTTAATAAGATGGATAGACACGCACACATACAGATACGGCAGATCTTTGTGTCATATTTATTGAGCCTCCAGCGAACACCGTCGTTCGCACACCTATCGTCTTACTATAATGCCTCTTATAATGATATTCAAAAGTCTTTTAATTGTATTAACTAGAAACCTTCTTTACATTTATTCATGTGATAAATTATAGGAGGAGATGATGCCGAACTATTCCGGAATAGAAAAGGCAGTATGTCTATTAATATGCAAACAATAAGTACTGCAAAATTATTAATAACTGATGTGGTGACACGCTAGCCAGGATAAACAACATTCTTTATCTTCAAGTGAAAAATTTTGACCACGTTTCCTCTTTTCTGCCATTGTAATTATGTAATAAAAATTTGGTATTTTTTGAAAATACACGAAATGATTGAAATGAAACTGTCACTGGATAGTGGCATCAAAATGTCACCGACACCGCGTCTTTGTAAGCTATGGCATTCAACATACAGCCAAAAAATAAAAACACAACTTTTTGTTACTAATCTAACATTCACTAGTTCAAGACTCTTCTTTTCGAAATAAATTGAAGTTAGAAAAGTTAATTACTTGTTTTAAGGTTGTATATTTACAAAAATAACAATAGAATTGTCTAATCGATTCATTTATCGATAACTGTTTGCATAGTTCCTCAACACTAAACGTCACCTAATTAGGGGGCTCTTAATTAGGTGACACTTAGGACAGTGAAACAAAATTTAAGTTAAGGGATGATTTGAACGGTCCCCTAAGTTAAGTGGCCCTTACTAAGGTGACTGTTTAGGGGCTGTTGGTGAAAACGGGCATTAGTCCCACGCTAAGTAACACCTTTACCTATCTGTTGTAGGACAAAGTTAGGAATATTAAATAATAAAAATAAATAAAAGGTCTTCATCACAATTTTGTACATTCCCTTTCTTATCTTTTAAGTCTGTATCTGCGCTACAGAATTTATCATGTGTCCTATTATAATCTTTACACCTGTAAAGGTACCTAACTTTAAAGTTAGAACAGAGTAGATACTCACATAAATACAGAAGTCCGCCGATCAGTATAATTGTTGCAAGTATGACGTGGTCTTCCTTGTCGAGATAGTATGTGATGGAGGTGTGTAACACGCTGATGAGCAGGCCGATGGCCAGCACGATTCCCAGCACGACCCACGGGAGCATTAGCCATGACCGCCGCTATATCAGGAAAATCATAAGGAATTAGTAGATATAATTAGGTATCTGTTTTTGCAACGAGGAGAAATTTCTAAATAGTCTAAATTGTAGCATTGAGTGAATAGGCATGCATGATTACTACAAGCCCTTATAAGAGGCACCGGGTTTTCTGAATAATATCGATGCGGACCAGGTTTATTCAGAGGACCCGGCTACCACTGGCCACCGTGTTAGCACACCGGGTTCTAGTAAGGTGAAATGCTACGTATACTAGGTATGTAGTAATTTTCCAATAAGCAGGACTGATCAAAGGTACCTAATGTAGGTACGTAATCTTTCAATATTATAGTCAGAAAAAATTACCACAAGAATGTGTTCTCCAAATAGACCAGTTTTGGAGTTATCTACTGTGTAATATGCAACGCCATTTAGGTACCTACATTTTGGTATTTACAGCGCATACCCATGGACAAATTTAACAAACTTTTCAAATCTGCTGTGAAACCAAACATTTTTTATAGGTCCATATTTCCTAGATCTGTTACTTATAAGCACGGAGTAAGAACAAAGCTTATAAGTGTGCTGTTAATGCTGTTATATTAAAATTGTTGAGTTACGATTGCTCTAATAGGTACTTTTATGTAGGAAAATGTATACTATGTTCATGTGTAAGTAGTTTTCAGTTTATGAGTAATGATTACGCAGTAAGGCAATGCTGTTTTAATATTGCGACACACACACATAGAATAACAAAAACATAACTGACACATAGCGGGCCTAATGCCCGTTTTCACCAACAGCCCCTAAACAGTCACCTTAGTAAGGGCCACTTAAATTAGGGGACCGTTCAAATCATCCCTTAACTTAAATTTTGTTTCACTGTCCTAAGTGTCACCTAACTAAGAGCCCCCTAATTAGGTGACGTTTAGTGTTGAGGAACTATGCAAACAGTTATCGATAAATGAATCGATTAGACAATTCTATTGTTATTTTCGTAAATATACAACCTTAAAACAAGTAATTAACTTTTCTAACTTCAATTTATTTCGAAAAGAAGAGTCTTGAACTGGTGAATGTTAGATTAGTCACAAAAAGTTGTGTTTTTATTTTTTGGCTGTATGTTGAATGCCTTTAGCTTACAAAGACGCGGTGCCGGTGACATTTTGATGCCACTATCCAGTGACAGTTTCATTTCAATCATTTCGTGTATTTTCAAAAAATACCAAATTTTTATTAATTACAATGGCAGAAAAGAGGAAACGTGGTCAAAATTTTTCACTTGAAGATAAAGAATGTTGTTTATCCTGGCTAGCGAGTCACCACATCAGTTATTAATAATTTTGCAGTACTTATTGTTTGCATATTAATAGGCATACTGCTTTTTCTATTCCAGAATAGTTCGGCATCATCTCCTCCTATAATTTATCACATGAATAAATGTAAAGAAGGTTTCTAGTTAATACAATTAAAAGACTTTTGAATATCATTATTAGAGACATCATAGAAAGACGATAGGTGTGCGAACGACGGTATTCGCTGGAGGCTCAATAAATATGACACAAAGATCTGCCGTATCTGTATGTGCGCGTGTCTATCCATCTTATTAAATCATGTATTATTTCATAGGAGATTCAGTAATAAATGGTTACTCGTAAGGACCTGTGTTTCTCTAAACGCCCAACCTTATAATTGAATTTTTATGTGTGTACAGTCTATACATCCTAAAACATTTGGAAATCAAGCTATTCTGTAAAATTCTTCTTTTACTATTTGTTGTTTTTCTTCGGTGTCTGGAAATTGTATGAATTCGCTTTGCCACGAACCACGATAGCGTCAGACACTCTTTTTATAATTCTACTGCAAGTAGATACACTGATGGGATTGAGATCTGCTACAGATAATAATTGATTGCCTGTTGCATAAAATCTAAGGGCACACAGTAATTGGTTAATCGGTGCCACAGATTTATTTCTTTAAATACAAGTAAGGTTGAGCAGGGAACCTGTATCTTATGAAAAAGTCTTTTTCATCATATTTTTCAAAATCTTTCGATCTTTCACGATAAATAAGAGGTCGTCTATACAAATGTCGGTTACTTAACAATTCCATATCTTCAATTGCTTAAAATCTTCAAATAAATAGTGGTTATTATCCATTTTTATTATTTTTTATCTTATTCAGTAGGATAAAATACTGTTTGGTGATTCGCAAAAAACCTAACACTATGTGTCACTTAAACGTTACGGGGTCGTCAATTCATCCCCTAAATTATAAGGAACCCCTAATGATATAGGTGACACTTAACGTTGGTGAAAACAAAACTCGCGATAAGTGTCCCTTATATTGGCTTAAGAGACACTTAAATTTTAGGGGCTGTTGGTGAAAACGGGCATTAGTAACATATTGGGCATGAAATGCCAAAAAATGAGCATCTATTATAAACGCCTATCCTACAATTATAACCAAATAATAAAAATAAAAACAAATGAAATATCAAATTAAAGAGGAGAATTGTATTTGTTGTAATCATTAAGTATGTTAGCGTATTAAATAATACCTGCTTCTATCCACAGGTAGGTATATGTATACCTATGTATCTACAACATAATAATATAGAAATTACAACACATGTTTAAGTTTTCTATTAGGTACTCTTAAAGCAAGTACATATAGCTATTTAATTGAAATAAGACGTACTGACTTATAGTATGAACTTACCGAATAAGACGTCTGTTAGTTGCATGCAATACCAAATGTTAATTAGTTGGCTATCAACGCATTAAACGTTATGTAGGTACTACTACTACTTCAGGTGCGGTGATAAGAAAACAATTTACTTACTTTATGTACTGCTATCATCAGCAACGTGCATATCAGTATGGTGAAGCATAAATTAATTGTTAATATTATCCTCGGAACTGAAAAAAAAGAAATATATTTTTAGTAAATAGGTATGTCAACATAGACTGTATTGTTGGTTTACTAAAATTTAAAATCGATTTAATCTAAAATCTCTGCATGGAATAAGATCTAATACCTAAGCTTTGTGTCTAATTTAATTAAATTTAGGTATTATTGATACAAAATAATATTCATTTATATTATGAATAAGACTGACCTACGTACCTAAAGAACGTAGGTCAGAGTTATTTCTGGTTTTTAGCAGAAACCTTCTTCATTGTTATAAAGGGACAATTATGACATCACTAGTGCAAAATTGGTGGTCATTACCCTCCAGTTACGTCTTCGCTGTTAAATAGTTCTAAGGAGTGTAAAGTTATGTAATGAATAGCTGGAGGTAGGTAACCCAAAGTCTCATCAGACATTCTCATCAAGTAATCTGATAGACATTACAATGCCAAAACATGAACGGAGCAATCATTCATGTGATGCTTTGGTGCACATATTAATTAGCTATCGTTGACTGATATTGTATATCGGATTTGACTTGCAAGCTCCTCAAATGGGCCTGTTCATGAGTCTTAGAGTTGAATTTAAACTTTTTTTCCTATTAATAAATACTTAGTTAAGCAAATAGTTAGGTACAGGTTAACATCATCATAATATGATCTTGATTAAAGTACCTAGGTACATTTACTTTTTATATACCGAAATGTTACAATTTATCATATTGTAGGCAACTCAAGGAGGTAGTAGACCCAAAGAGTTCAATTCATATTTCGTAATTTCGTATTAGGTATATAAGTATGGAATTATAAATTTTAGATTAATAAGTATTATGGGAATCGATTGATAGATGAATCAACTTACTGTCTAAATCTGAAAGTTTTCTGTCAAACTCTTCATCGAAGATGAACGTGCTGAATGTGATCCTATGCCTCTTTACGACCCATACTATGATTATGGTGGCGATAGAGAGAACGATTCCAAGGAACGCTGTGATCAGCGTCCCAGTCCTCGTCGATGCGCAGTAACAGAATTTCTGTAATCTCTTCATGGTGTTTGTGTCTGTTTTATGTCAGTTCAAGTGCTAATACTCTGTGCCACGGTCTCACCGCCTCATGTCTGAAACAAAACAAAGAATATAATGAGAAAATGCAAAAAAAGTAAAGTTTGTTTTTATGTTCCCTGATAACATGTGCGGTTTTAATGATACTAAGATATGTGTGCACTTTTCGAGAACACGCTAACTGCATAATCTATGAGAATTGTATAACCAATTGCAGTTGGTGTTTTATCTCAATCTCGCTGATTGTTTTGTAAATATGAGCTAGCTAGCTAACTACCTACAGTCAGTCGAGGCGTGGGCGGTCGTCATTGGCCTGACCCGTTACTTCCGCGTCGCCATTGACTTTAGTGATTCTTACCGGCTTACAAGTTTGGGATATCACTAATATTAGATAACAACAACTCTATCTCATTGATATTCGAATGTTGCGACATCTAGCATAAATTTAAATGTTTAGACGCTTCAGAATGTACGAAATGCATGTTGACTAGATATTTATGCGTGGATTACAAATATATTGGTCTGTAAGTAAATATCTCCAGTAACAAAAGGCATGGCCTTGCTCGAGACTTGGAAATAAAATTCATATAAGCTTATCTAACAGTCAGTCTTTTGTATGTGGTTACATTGCACAATCGTACATGCTTGTATGCAGGTATATGGAATTATGATCTGAATGATAAGTAAATACACAGTGCAGTTGCGTCGTTTACCTATATCACTGTTAATTTCAAGTTGTGGGTTAGACAAAATAATAGCATTCAAAGATATAACGTTTAATATTTATGACAAATGTAGACAAATATCGGCGTTGGCGCCATAAACCGAGTGGAAAGCCGTAAAAATATTGCATCATTGGCACTATGGCGACTTTCGTTCGCAACTCGTCCAAAGTGCGACACCGTCTCACCGTCAAACCGCCTGTTATCGGTTCCTTGGTGTTTGGGGCTATTTCTGGTTTGGTGACACGTGCCTACTCATTAAGACGGCCAACACCGTAGCCATACTATTTTTTCATATTAAACAGTTGGTAGATCACAAGGCCCGATAGAGAAAATAAGACGATAAACATATCCCTCTTTGTTGTTCAAACACAACGGAACTGCGATCCATTGGGTTTGCAAATTTAAATCCACTCTGTTTAAATATGGGTTGGATAAAAACAAGAAAATAAAATCGGAGATTTCATCTTCCATCTATTCTAGGAGAGACGGCGCTTAGAATTTATATGTGTTATTTATTTTAGTCTTTCTGAATGAGGAGATTTATAGATCTAGATCAGGGTAACATTCTTATTTATTTACACATAAATGTGTTAGCACATGTGATTCTTTGTATAAATATCTTCGTCATTAATGTGATCGGGCAAGTTTTTCTATATTATGATTGTTACTAATGATATACTTTGAATTTTATTAATGTTTTATATGTATTGAATTTGAATTGGATAAAATTATTAGCTCACTTATTTTTGGCCAACTATGGCGAATATTATAAAATAATTTTAATGAGATTAAGTAGGTATCTGGTATCTATCTAAAGTCATCCAGCTAGGTGGACTGACGATATCCGCAATGTGGCTGTCAGTGGTTGGATGAGAAGACCTGAACATTGAGCTCAGTGGCGTGCAATTGGGGAAGCCATGTCCAGCAGTTAACGAAATCAAGCTGATGATGATGATGATGATGAAGTATCTAAACACTGCAATTCTCGCATATATTAGGTAAATACTTAGTTATTTATTCGTGTCATGAGGTCTAAAGAAGAAAAACAAACGACATCTGTTTCCTGTGACACCGGTTTCTATCACTACTACAATTTAAATGTCAATAGGTACAGAAACGTTTCCAAAGAATTCGACATTAATTGAATATCAAAGCGTTCGTAACAATTTACCGATGGCTTACATTAAAAATTTCGCAACGGCGATCTATTTTGATTGACTGCAGTAACATTTTGGTCCAGAATTAGACGGGTTGCCTAACAGGTAGCGAAATCAATTGTGGACCATGCTCGGTTCGATTACGTATTTATGAACTCTGATGGATTGAAACCGACGACGGCAACGGGATTGTGTTGCGCTCCCTTTTGATTTGGGCAATCAATCAATAACTGCTCGTCCATTAGTCGTATTTGTATCAACTATTTTTATTTGTTGGCCCATCATGCGTGAGCGCAATCACACTGTAATGGCCCATTTATAACAAAAATAAGTATTGTTATGATTGTTTGTCTCGCTGGTCCTGGTATTGCGTAAACAAAAATCTATAGATGTAATGGTTGTTAGTAGGGATTTAGGAGAGGAGATCTAGAGTTTGAGGATTTTTCACTGATTGCATATTGTTTTACGCCGGTATTCTGTGAGGCGGTGGTATCACTCTGGTGGAACCAGCCCATTTGCGTCGAGACATGGCTCGCAGACACCTACCGGTACTTGACTATTTCATGGGCCGGATTGAAACTGATTTGCGCAAAGTATGTACTATGTAGGTAGTAGTAGGAAGACGATAACCCTCGCTCCATTATCGCTGGCATTGGCCTGACCCAGTTCGCAGATCGGCCCCATTAGAACAAATGCCTCGCCTATATAGCTACACCTATATTATGGGACTGGGGACACACCTAGGCATTTTACACCCCATTACCATTTGCAGTGATTTTAGTTTGAAAGCTTTTACTGCTAATATTACTTACTTATCGTTGTTCAGTAGATAAACATGCGTTTGATAGGTAATTCAAATTAATTGGTTTTTAAATGGGAAAATGAGGAAGGAGTATTGTTTTGTTTTCCTGGAAAAAACGTTCAAGAGTTTGAAATAAGAACGTACTCAAGCTTAAGTGGTTAAATAACTTTTTAAAAGTCATATTCGGATGATATTCTTGCATTCGTGTTAAGTGTCTTTAAGATTACACAAGATTGTTCAAAGTAAACGCTTTCTAACAATTGATATTTGACATTTTAATGTACATAACTAAGAATATTTAATTAAGATGTTCAGTTGATATGAATGTAAACAGCAATGGATGAGTAATAAATCTAAGTGCGTAGTTTCCGCGTGGCGGTTCAGTAGACCGCGTAATACTCAGTAGGTAGACATCAGCATGTCAACCTACTCCAATTCATCAAATAGATATTCGACTCTACAGCTACATAATAAAGATGAAAATTAAACGTTGAGTTCTGTAAGACCATCAAGTAGAGTGACTTCACTGAGTAACTTCATAGTTGTCTTTGTCAGGGACATTGCGCAATATGAAGAACGCAATAGACGCCACTAAACTGCTCTAGTCCTGTTTCTCTTCGATTCCTGTCTTGGTACACTCGAATACTTGGAACTGCAATGGAGAAACGTGTTCTAACTAATGTTTGAATTAAAGTATAGAATTACATGAAACCCTCTTCTTTAATACTAGCTACTCTCGCACGGTTTCACCCGCTACTCGCCGCGCGATGTTTTATAGCCTATTCAGCGTTCAGGAAAATTGTAGTAGATATATATTAGTGAAGAATTTTGGCAATCCGACCAGCCGTTCCAAAGATTACATACCTATTTATAAACATACAAACTTACAAACTTACCAACCTCTTTATTATATTAGTGTAGATTAAGAGCTTGCCTGGAGTTTAGGGACTTCAGTCTGACGACCTTGACCGAACTGCATTGCGGATTATTGTTACTCTTTATTTATTTATTAGTATTTATTTGTTCTTTTATTGCACATAATATCGCAAATCTACAAAAAATTGGCTTATTATTGCATATGTAGAGTGAACAATGGGCGGTCTTATCACACAGGATCATTTCTTCCAGATAACCTTTGGATGGAAGTTTAAAAGTGCAGTCTAGTTTACTTAGAATAAATTGACTATAATAAAAAAACTAGCTTCCGTTCGCAGCCTCGCCCACGTGGTATTTTGAATAAAAAATTGCGTATGTATTAATCCAGGGTGTCACCTATTTACATACTAAATTTCAACAAAACGATATAGCCGTTTCTGCGTGTAAGAGTAACAAACATACATCCATTTATAATATTAGGATTCATGAGTTATACGAAAGAAAACTGTAATGCAATTGAGTTAAGTTCCCAAATAAACTTCTCGATGGATTTAAACAATATTCTTTTTGTATAGAGCAAACAAAAGTATCTCTACGTTTTCTTCCACGGCCCTTATAGTTATAATATAAACTGTACTACCTTCACATAAGGTTTAACTGTCTTTTCACTCCATGTTGAGGATCATTGGGTACATTATGATTAGATTAGTAATCCTTGTACTTTTATAGACTGGATATGGTTCGTGAGCAGTGCTTACTGATTTGTTTGTTACATTGTCTCAGATACCATCTTTGTAAAGTTGCTTCTGAATTTGTTTATATATATATATCGATTTATATCTATCTACATGTTCGTGAAGTAGGATAGAACTACCGGCTAACGGCTGCTTTCCTGTCTTCGCTTCAGTTAAATTGTTTCAAGAGGCAATTTTGTTTATTGCTTACTTGTCTGTTACTTTGAATCTAACTGATGATGATGTTCAGTAAAGACACTGCGCCACATCAGTTTTTGTTAAGGATACATACCAAAATGTTATGGACTTTCGGATTACTTTTCTACCTATTCAAGTCCTTTGAATTGGAATATCAGATTCGTGAAAGATGAGCTATGGAAATAACATTTCCCTTTAAACATTTCGGTAACTAAGTAAACTCGAAAATATATACATATAGGTAGGTACTATAAGTAGTATTTTTGAGTCTAGTTAGAAAATTTATACTCGGTTACCTTGCTCCTCAATAGACGGTGATCCGTAACCCTCCTGAGTCAGATCATCTAAAATAGATCTGTTATATCATGTTGGTATAGATATTTACTATATCGAAAGTGGAGTTTGGCAAGCGTTCTGCGTTCTTGACTATCGGTCATTAAACAAGCGAAGGTCGTCTTTAAAACAGAGCTTTCTGTTTCTGTGTCATTGTCACAGACGGCCATTGTGATTTTTTTTGGGGTAAGTTTATTGACGTAGTGTAAAAGAGGGTAGTGGGTCCTGTTA